CATTTGAAACCCCAAGCCACACCTCCTAATCACTGTCAACTAATGCAGTTCCTTAAAGAGCAAGCATTCAAATATATGGCTCTGTGGGGCCCATTTTTTAATTCATATCACGAGAGCTCCTTAGCAAGTGCTCTGAATCCACACTCTACCTCTGAGACTGCATATGTCCCTTCTATCCCCTCCCTCAGTCTTTCTTCTAGTTTCCTCTCTAGATTTTCCAGCTGGCATCTGAAGATCTCTTTCTTCTTCCTTACATCAGTTCTACGGTTATTGTTAGCTTTACTTTTAATCCTCTTCTCTACTCATATTCAAACTATGGCAACCGCCTTGAAAAAGAAATTAGTATCTGCCTTAATTAGAGTTCCATTGTTGTGATGAAAGAACATGACCAAAAGCAACCAGAGGAGGAAAGGGTTTATTTTATCTCACAGTTTGTTGTCTATCAATCAGGAGAGTAAGGGCAGGAGCTGAAGGCAGGAACCTGGATACAGGAACTGAAGCAGAGGTCAAAGAGGAGTCCTGCCTACCCTTATGGCTTGGTCAGTCGGCACCCATGCCCAGGGGTAGCATGATCCACAATGGGCTGGAACTAATTAAGAAAATGCACTACAGATTTGCCTACAGGCCAGTCTTATGGAGGCATTTTCTAAACTGAGAGTCCCTCTTCCTAAATGACTCTAGCTTGTGTCAAGTTGATGGAAAACAAGCATCATAGAAATTATTTGGCCCTTGCTATAGTGTGGGTCCTTATCTGAAGGTGAATTTACACTCTGCCTTTCTGACTTCAGCCCTTTTTCTACTTGAGGTATTCTTCACTTACTCCATAGTCAGCATCAGCTGTGTTTTTAGCTTCCTTGTTTTTTTATTCCTCTATTCTCATCTGTGTGACCTTGAAAAGCACTGTGTATTCCATTTTTCCCTTAACCAAAACTTCCAGTCCTTCACAGATCCATTCTTTGGACCTTGCTGAGACCCAGTAAGGGACCACAAGGAAGCAAATTGTGTCTGGCTCAGGATGTGCTCCACCTCTTCTTGAGTCTGGTGTGTGAAATCTCCTTGCCTTTGCAGCTCTCCAAAAACCTTAAAACTAGGATTAAAATGTAAAACCAGATTGTTACATCAGTACAGTGTTGAGATAAAAAGCAATTTATAAATAAATGGTTCCCATCAGTATTATTCAAAGGTTAAATTTACCAGAACAATCTAATTTTGTTGCAAATTCACAGCTTCACATGTAGGTAAAGACTGATGCAACTGCAACCTGGAAGTAAACTCACAAGTAAAGATGTATTTATTGCATTTACCTCATTAGGTAGGTGCAGCTTAAAGGTTTTAATCTCACAGGTCCTTCTGTAGTGCTGCATTTCAAGAGAAAACAACAAATAGCCTCAGTAACAAATGTCAAGAATGGAAAGATTCCTTTTCTTCTGACAGCTGCCATCAAATGTGCTGAAATCACCAATAGAAGTACACTCAGGAACTATGGAGAAAGACACAGTCCTATGGGGTGCACTTTACCCCAGAGAGTACCCTGATGGCAGTAACAGTAGATCTTTGGGCTCCATGGGGTTCTCTGCCCATTCAGGCCTGAAAACTTTCCAAGACTGAAATATAAGAGAGGTTATGCAACATAGGAATTGATGTGCATCCTAATTTGCCCAAAGCCATTTCAGTCCATTTCAGACAACAGAGACTGCTGTGGAACTCCGAGGGTCTTAAATTCTTACTGGACTGATGAGGATTCCACATGTATATTTTTTGAGGTTATCCTCTGGAATCCATTCTATATAGCTCCCAAGGAATCTTGGATCGCAAGAGCAGTCCACAAGCACAGGTAGCTATAGACTACTCTGATGCTAAAACCCATGTCCAAACTTTTGTTTTCAGTTTGTTACAGCGTGAGAGACAACTCTTAACTTAGGTGCTCACTTGAGTCTGAGCTGAGAGGTTGACAGTTACATCAGTGCTGGTAAGCACAGTTTTGGAAGATTAGAACCCATGTACACTTTCACATGGCTGGGGCCAGAACATAGAGGAAATTTCATATGTCAGTGTCACAGCAAACAAGGGTGAAGATGGAGGTTTCTGTCCTGCCTGGTCCCACAGCCGCTTTGCTCCAAATAAATACATGGATGCTATATTAATTATAAAACTGTTGGCCTATTGCTTAGGCTTCTAATTGACTGGCTCTGCCTTAACTATTAACCCGCTTCTATTAATCTATATACTTCCACAAGGCTGTGCTTTATCTGTAATCCAGCATGTTAGTCCTTTGGCAGTATGGCATCTCTTTGTGGCCTCCCTCTGTCTCTCTCTCCCCTCCTTCCACTTATAGCCCACCTATGCTTTCTACCTGGCCAATCCATGTTGCATTCATCAATCAATAGGAGAAATACACACACACACACACACACACACACACACACACACACACACACAGAAGGATATCCCCTATCACTTGGGAATTGGAAAATTCTTATTTTAGATGACATCAGGGGTTGTAAAGTGAGGAAATTTAATAGTTCTGAATATGAGTAATTTCCCATGGATTTCAACTAGAGAGTATTGAGTGAGATCACAAAGCTTATGAAATGGTTTGCTGGTTTGCACAAAGCTCCCACAGGTTAACTCCCTTACCTACCAGGTGATAGGAGCCAATGGGTTTGTTTAACTTCCTGGGATGGAATTATTTGTCCTTTGTTTGGAGTTTGACATACTGGAGGGTTTTCCTATCAAGGTCCGCCAGCATCCCTCTTCTGACATGGGGTATCTTTGAGGGTTTCCTCAGGGCCATGCTAGAGAGAACGAGGACAGTGATGATAGGGAACTGCCGCATGCCACTCTAAGAACCCTGCAAACATGAACTGGGCCAGTGTTTGGTGGGGCCCTCGACTCCCAGATAGGAGGTCAGGTGCTAGATCTTTGTCATCACTGTGCATCCAGACACATATTTTACCAGGCCTCTTGCCTGTCTCGTTTGTTTTCTAATTTCTGCTTCTGTCTTCTCTCCCTGGGAAGAGTATCCACTAGTTCTGCTGCTCTCCTCACTAGAGTGAAATGCTAATGTTCTTTGAAAGGCTAGCATTTAAGCCTATGACCTAGATATGTGTCCTAGTTTTTAAAGAAAATGAGATCAGGAATATGAGAATCATATATTTTTAACTTTTGCTTTGGGAAGGAAATTCTGCTGATACATGAACAGGGTTCAAATACTGGGCATGGTGGTGAGTTTAAATGTTAGATCAACACAATCTGGAATCATGTGGTAAGAAAGCCTCAGTAAAGTAAAGAATCGTCTGGATAGGGATTACCTGTTGTGTCTGTGATGGAATTTCTTAGTTGGATAAACTGAAGCAGGAAGACCCACCCTTAATGTGGATGGCACCGTATTCTGGCCTGGACCCTGGACTGAGTGAACAGGAGAGACTGAGCTAAACTCTCCCAATGATGTATGCATTTAGTCTGTCTCTCTTGTTGCCTGTGGATGTGACTCACTGCCTCAAGTTTCTGCAGTGATTTCCCTGCAATGATGACAGGTACCTGGGATTGTAAACTGAATAAGAAACAAAAGATCACAATAGAAGTAAGATGTTCTTATCTACATGGTTCACCTTTCCTGCCACAGTGCTCAACTCATTCAGGATACTAAATACTGGAATAACAGAGTTTCATTATTAGTCATACTAAGCATAGTTTTGGGATATTTAGCATGTTCTGGTAAAATGCAAATTAAAGATAAATGAGATAGAATAAATCAGCTTAGTAGGCAAGCAGGGAGTAAGTTTTCTGGTAAGCATTCTAGTCCCCGCCCCCTCCAACCTTTCTTGGAATATAACAAAATATTGATTGGGTTAGCCTTGTGTTTGAACTTGCACTGATGCATTGGATTAGGTTTTTCCTAGGATTAGTAATGTTCCTGTGTAGTCAAGTACTAGTGTTTTACTTTTGTAGACGTGTTTTGTCCTAACCCTACAGTTTATCTATTTATTTTCACTTTATTAAATAGACAGAAGATCACAAAGTTGAGTGGTTAGCTAAAGGGCAAACAATAAGCAAGTAACAAATATTTGAAACCCACACTCAACCAAAATACTCTCTTGTATCTAATAAACCATTACAATTTAAAACATTTTAGTGTTTTATCATGATTTGTGTGTGTGTGTGTGTGTGTGTGTGTGTATTTACTTACATGTATGTCTTACTATGTGTACATGCCTGGTGCCCAGGAAGGCCAGAAAAGGGTGTCAGATCCCCTGGAAGTGGAATTAGAGATGATTGTGAGCTGCCATGTGCGTGCTGGGACTCGAACTTGGGTCCTCTGGCAGAGCTTCTATTGCTCATAGCCACTGTGCCATATATCCAGTCTCCAAATGCAAAATAACTTGTGCAGAATTTAAAAAAAAGTTTTCATTGTGATAATTAGGTTATACTTTAAGGCATTAATTATGTACCTAGTACATGGCATTTGTATTTTAGTTTAGAATTATTGTTATAATTAATATGTGGTTCATACTGATTAAAATGCAAATGTAACTGCATATCATATAAAGAACAGTAAATGATGATAGCAGAAGCTTTCCAACTTAATTGGAACCTATTAAAAATGAAAGAAGTAGCCTCGTTTTGCAGAACAAGTCAAGTATGCTGGTTCAGAAGAAAGGCAGGTATAGCTTTGCTGTGTATGAAAACATACACTCATTGTTCTGAGTCCTGTATGAAAATCAGTGTTTGTCATTAAAATTGGATATGAGCATTTGTCCTCTTAAAGTCATTTGAACTCAAATTTCATGAATCTGGTTTTCTTAATTCTGGATAATCAATAATTATATTATAAAGTTTTATTTTGGTGGAATCTACTTTATAATTTCTATTTGTATTGAAAGAGATTTTCATATGTCTAAGCAGTGTTTTTGCTAAGTGTGAACATTTATTCAGCAGATAGCTGGGAAGCTTTCACATAGAGTATGCTTATGCTTATCTTTTACATTTTTTTTTCCTAGATGAGTCCAGCTCCAGGCTGCTATGATGTTCAGAAATCGTATGACATGTCCCAAGTTAAACACAACTACATGCCACCTCGTAGTTCAATGGCTAAACTAAAACATTCCTCCTTCCTGAGTGCAGCTCCCCGGTGCCTGGGAAAAATCGCTGAGGGGCCAGGTAAGGCCGGCTGTTCTTTAAGGCTGTGGGGAAATCACAGTTTCATACTGAATGGATGATCACATACACTTCACAGTGACAGTAGTTAAAGTGCATAGACTTTCCCGTCAGAGAAGAAGAGGATAGTGAAAAATATGAGTCTGTTTGTTTTCAAATGTGAAATTTGTCTAAGGTCTTATGTTTCCTAATGGTTCCAAAGATATTTTATCAGTTTTATTTAAGATAATAAATATATCTGTTTATGAAAAAACAAGAACTTTTAGTACATAAAAAGATTTTAAAGGAGAAAAGCAGTTTTCCTGATTTGGAAATCAGTACAACACAAGAAAGAAATACATGCCAAGAAAAACTAGTTGAGTATTTTCAAATATCAAGAAAGCAGTGTCAATGGCTGGCTTTGCCAACCAATTGGATTGTGAAATGCCCAAGGCATTGCTGAAGCAAACCTGTAGGTGTCGCTGTGACTGTTCTCTGTTAGAATTAACCAAGGCAGGAAGGCCCGCCCTGAATGAGGATGTGGGCACTGATGGGCTGAGGTATTGGGATGAAAGAAAACAAGAAAGGTGAACTCCAGCTGAATACTGCCCATTGTCTTTCTGTATCCTGTTCCCGAGAGGAGAGCAAGTGTTCTCCATGTGCCTTGGACAGGAGAGGTTCTGTGACCATGCCTTCCCTACCACCATGGGTTGCAGTGCCCAAACCAGGAGTCCAAGTAACCCTTTTCCATAATTGTTTCTTGTCAGGATTAGGTCAGAGCAATGAGGGAAGTGACTGGTGTGGTAGCAAAAATAAAGTTACAAAAATGATTTTGATTCTAAAAGTTGGGGCTGGATCTGTTGTTAGTGTTGTTGGTCTAATAAAAAAGTGAATCAATAACTAACTCTGGTAATGAAGGTAAGTCAGTTCGCATCACGCACAGAGGAACCAGACAGTCTTGCGCAGCAAATGTATTGTTACTAAGTGAGTAGTTAGTACTGAATCTTTGGAGAGTATGAACAAAAACAGTACAGCAGAATTAAGAAACTTCCTTTTGTTGTCATTTTCCTGGTCCTGTGCCACCCATGTGGGCATCAGCATTCACCCAAAATTTCTAGTCACCCCAGGGCCTTATTCATGTGCAGGTAATGCACGTGTGGAGTGGCTACATAAGCCCCATCCACCTGAGTTTAGCTAAGGGACCTTGAAAAGCAGACAGACCAACCCACTTTGTCTTTCCACACATCTCCCAGACAGGCCTGTGCACACTCTTCACTAATGAAACTTTTTTTTTTTCTTATTTTGCATACCAATACCAGTTCCCTCTCCCTCCCATTTTCCTTCTTTCACTCTCTCCATTCCCCTCCCTCTCTCCCTCCCTCCCTAACTCTCCCATACTCCCTTGCTCCCTGACAACCCTCCCCTCCCATTCCCCCACCCCCACTCCACAGGGAGGGTGATGCCTTCCAGGGGGGGTCCTCTAAATCTGTCAAGTAATTTGGGGTAGGCTCTAGGCCCTCCCTCCTGCCTCTAGGCTAAGGGAGTATCCCTCTGTGGTGAATGTGCTCCCAAAGTCCTTTTGTGCTCCAGGGATACATCCTGGTTCCCCTGTCAGAGGTCCCTTATACTGCCCAGGACTTCTAGCCGAGACCCATGTTCAGGGGGTCTGAGTCAGTCCATGATGGATTCCCAGCTATCATTCTGGGGGTCCATTAGCTCCTCCTTGTTCAGGTCAGCTGTCTCTGTGTGTTTCTGCAGCATGGTCTTACCCTCCCTCTCTGCATCTCCATTCCAGTTCGGCTCAGTGTTTAGATGTAGTTGTTTGCTTCTGTTTCCATCAGCTACACTAGATGAGGGCTCTATGATGGTGGATAAGTTAGTCATCAATCTCATTATCAGGGAAGGGCATTTATTGTAACTTTCCACTGTTGCTCAAATTGTTAGCCAGAGTAAGTAAGTCTTGTACGTCTCTGGACATTTCTCTAGAGTCAGTTTTCTCTTCAAAACTATAATGGCTCCCTCTTCTATGCGCTCTCTCTCTCTCTCTCTCTCTCTCTCTCTCTCTCTCTCGCTCGCTCGCTCTTTCCTCCTCCTCTTCCTCCTCCTCTATTCCTCCCATGACTCAATCTTCCTAGTTCTACGTGCTTTCCTCTCCTCCCCTTCTCTTTCTCCTAGTTCCCTCTCCAATCACTGCCCACCACCTCAATCCCCATATTCTCAGGAGATCTTGTCGCTTTTCCTTTCTGTGAGGGAACTTATATATGAATCTCTTAGAATACACCTTGCATCCTAGTTCCTCTGGTGGTGTGAATAATAGGCTGGTAATCCTTTGCTCTATGTTTAAAATCCATATATAAGTGAGTACATACTATGTTCCTCTTTTTGTGACTGGGTTACCTCATTCAGGGTGGTTTCTTCAAGTTCCATCCACTTGCCTGTGAATTTCAAGATTCCATTGTTTATTTCCACAGAGTAGTATTCCATTGTGTAAATGTGCCACATCTTCATTAACCATTCTTCAGTTGAGGGGCATCTAGGTTGCTTCCAGGTTCTTTCTATTACAAATAGTGCTGCTATGAACATAGCTGTGCATGTGTCTTTGTTGCATGGATGTGGATCATTTGTGTATATGCCTAAGAGTGGGATTGCCGGGTCCTGTGGTAGACTGATTCCCATTTTCCTGAGGAACCGCATACTGATCTTCAAAATGGCTGTACAAGTTTGCACTCTTACCAGCAGTGGAGGAGTGTTCCCCTTTCTCCACATCCTCTCCAGCATAAGTCATCATTGGTGTTTCTAATTTTATCCATTCTGGCAGGAGTAAGATGGTATCTCAGAGCTGTTTTGATTTGCATTTCCCTAATAGCTAAGGATGTTGAACACTTTCTTAAGGGTCTTTTCAGCATTTTTGATTTCCTCTATTGAGAGTTCTCTATTCAGTTTTGTACCCCATTTTTCAATAGGGTTATTTGGTGTTTTGTGACCTGCCTATCCACGAGGACCACTGGTAATCCCCATATGCCTGCTCTCTAACCCCCACTGCTGGTCCTCTACTGGAGTACTGGAGTTCCGGGCTCCTCCCAGAAATCTGCCTATCCAGGCGGGGCCCCTTTTAGCGCCTGTGGGCTGGATCCTTGACCCCCATCACAGCCAGGCCTCTGGTAAAGAGGCCTCAGCTAGAGAGTGCCAGGCACCAGCTAGAGATGCTCATGGGTGTGAAAACATCCTGAGTATCAGCCTAGTCTTTGACCCCCATTGTCTTTGACCCCCATCACCAGGCCTCACCCAGAGGCCTGGGCTAGAGGCCTTGGCTCTTGAACATCCTGAGTCCCAACCTTTGGTATCTTTGACCCCCATCGCTGGTCTTCTCTTGGAGCCTCATCTTTGACCCCCATCACCAGGCCCCTGCCTGATGAGAGACCTCCTAGAGAGCTTGGACCACCCAGAGCTACAGACATTGAACCTCTGACCCACCTAAGCCTACCGGGGGAGTACTATATATAGAGAGGGAGTGGACCCCCATCTACACCTACTGGAAGAAGTGATGGGAAGGCAGAAATACAAGAAAACACCTAACAATAGAAAGACAAGCATAACACCACCACAATCTGACAGGTTTTTAGCAAAGGGGGTGAATGGGGAAAGGGCAAGGCCTGCTAAAACATGCTTGCCATGCTCTAGCTGTCCAGATTCCTTCAATCATCACTGTATTTTCTGATGTAGTTACCTCATTTCTACTTGCCGTTCTCAATAGTTCTAACTTTTGCCAGAGACAAAAAAGTATATTTGATACTTTTCAAGAATAGTCATTTTACAATAAAGTATAATGATAGCAGGTCTGTTTGTTTCATGTCCTGTGTCAACGCTTGTTTCATGAATGGTATCCTTTCATATCATCCACTTGTTAGAAATAAAGTAGTGAAAAATTGTTTATTCTGCTTGCTATTTAGCCATTGGTAGGTTTTATTGTGCCCAGACTCTGAATCCCCCCAACCGCCAAGAGACCAGATCCAGTGCAAAAGCAAACAGTTTTTAATTTATAAGTTAACTCAAGTTTTCCTCCGTCCACCCAACACAGCGTGTGGATTAGGAGGGACCCCGAGCAGCAGTAGGGCAGGGCACAAATTTGGGTACAGCAAGGGGAGTGTGTGGCAGAGGGGGGCTGTCTGATAGTTGCATAGCAACAGTCTTAGGATTGTTGCTCCTCCAGGCTTGGGCAACCTGTCCTGAGTTGATTGGTCAGCTGCAGCTGCAGAAAAGTTGCTATGCCTGGAGGCCATCCCAGGGCTGTAACTGTGCCCTGCCTTCCACTATTATCAGTAAAGCACATCCAGAGCCTGCTAGCTAGCTAACTTCTGATTGGTTCCTTTCCACATGGAGGGTTTCTAGCAGTGACTTTCTAGTGATTAGGGCAAAGTTGGGGGTGGTGGGGGTTTGCTTAGCTCATGCTGCTGAGTCAGGGAACCTACATCTTGCTGGGTTTTTCCTGCAGCCTGTCATGGCTGCCAAACAGGGGGCTGGGTGAGGGTCTGGGCCCTTCAGTTTTGTTTTACTTCATTAATTACAAAAATTTTATTCATATGTATATGTCTAAGTGCCCGCATGTATGGGTATGGAGTGTACCTGGTGTGTGCCTGTTGCCTGTAGAGGCCAGAGAAGGGCATTGGGTTCCCTGGAGCTGGGAGTTATAGGCAGTTGTGAACTGATGGATATGGGTGCTGGGAACCGAACCCAGGTCCTCTGCAAGAGCAATAAATGCTCTTAACTGCTGAGCTGCCTCCCCAGCCTCTTGTTTTGCTTTAATAACTCAGGAAAGGACTTTCTTGTAAATGTAAAATTCATTATGTATCAAATTATTTGTAGTGATATGCTATCTATAGAAATGAAACGGTAGGACTATTTGAGTTAAGAGTATGATACACATATTTGTTATGATATTTTGAGGCCTTGGCTTTATAGAATTAAAAAATAAACATTATTACCTTTTTTACTCTTAAATAAAATGGAAAATTAAGACTGACTGA